CCCCAAAACCCCAAAACCCCAAAACCCCAAAACCCCGGATAAGTGATTTGATTATAAAATAACTGAAATTAAAATGTTTAAATTGATCAAAATAGTAAAAATATTAATAATTCAGTTGATAATACATAAAATTCTTATACTGAAGCAAATTCTATTTCCAAAAATGAATCAATTCTATAGCAAAATCCTATCACTTATCTAGGTTATATCTTCTTTCATTCTTTAATATCACAAGTTATCTTAATCGCTGAGATATCTCAGAGAGCTAAGACTTTTCTAAGTTATGTATATACTGAAAGTAGTTGATTTTTTCAAAGGTATTATCAAGATTCTTGAATCTAGGATCACCCTCCTTACCTCTAGTCTTTTCCTTCAGCATAATCAGGCGCATTTGTTCTGATTAGGTGACTATATCATCAAGTAGCTCTTTGAAATTGAACTTAAAGTTATCCTCGTTGACCTCGAATACCTTCTTTGTATCCTCATATGTATACTTCTACTTCTCTGGCTTGTCATTTACCGGTTCTAGTTATTTGTTCAAAAACTATATTAGCTAGCGAGAGTTATGATATGATAATTGGTCAACAGCATCTTTTTCAAGAAACTCAAAAGATTTTTACAGATATTTGTTGGGGTTATGAATCGTGCCTAGCAACTTCTCTCGCCTCTTCTCCTATAGTAAGAGATAGTCTTATTGAGAGAAGTTTTAAGATTGCTAATTTTGATTATAATCCGCGGAGATCGATTTATGGTGGCTTTAATGGTTAATCTTTTTTGCGGTGGAGGGAGACTAGTGCTGCTCAAAAGCTGACTTTCGTTTAATCTTGATTTTATTCATAGATTATCTAAGTGGAGGAAGTTATTTGCTATTTGTGTCTAAGTCTTAAGAGGTGTCAAGTCTGTTAGTATTCACAAGTGAATGATTAGTCTTTCTTGGTTTGTAAAAAGTTTGAGATAGATGCTAATTATTTTAAGTGCTTGATGAAGCTTAATGAACACTGTGTGATTAGTTTTAAAATGGCTGATCAATAACAATAGAAGGACCAAAAGCAAACTTAAAGCCACTAGATTGCATGTTAGGGGATATGTTTGTGGTACTATCTCTATTTTCAAATAGATTTACATCAGTAACTTGCACATGCTCAATATTGTTATAGATGTTGAATGGTTTTTTTTAATAGGGTAGAAAGATTTTCTAGGTATGATAATTATCATGATTTGAATCAATCGTCAAAGAAACTTCGCCTTATAAATCCTATATACTTTGATCGTTAATGATGTGCTTTTTGTTATGAGGATGATGCCCATGCTGAACGCTATGAGAGTGCTTCTTTTTCCTCATTTGCATTTTGTGTAATATAGTTGTCTGAGTCTGATTAAATGGATACATGCCATTGGTGGTTATGGTAGCACCCATTAGAGATCTATTTGTGTTCAACAAACTATCTACAATCTCCTTGTCTTTTAGCTTTTCATCCTTATCATCTATGAATCTCTAGTAATATTGATACCTTTTTGGTATTTCATTCATTTCAAGGAAGCTGAGAGCCATTCTGTTTCTCTATAAACTGGTGAGACGTTTTTAATTGGGGTTACTCTCTTCCTCAAAATCTATGACTTTAAAAGCAGTTCCAATGTTCTGTAGCGCAGTCTTACTGCACACCTCAACCTAGTTATCAAGCATCATGCCTCTTGGACCAACTTTTTCCTTAATCTTCTCAGCTTTCAACTGCTAGTCTCTTTAGAACTCTCTATGTTTAGGAATCACAATCTTGACCGTCTCCATCTTATCAAAGAGACGAGTCATGATCTTTTTCTCTGGGTTAGTCGGTTTCTGGTCTCGCTTGATTATACTTCGCAAAAAGTCCACTGCATCCTAGGCTTATTACTCGTCGACCTTTCCTGAAGTGAAATGACTCTACCCTTTACTTTGCTTTTTCTCCTTAGGAGGGCTCATAGTTCTGGAAGGAAGATCGTCATCTGACTCTTACTTTTTGTACTTTCTATTTTTGGCCTTTGCCTAGATCTCTAATAGTTTTTATTCTCTCAAGTCCTCCTCAAATTCCTGCTGTCTCCTTAAGTCTTCTTGCTTGTCAAGAGTCTGTTTGGCCTCGTTTTTACGCTTAGCCAGCAGTTCCTTAAGCCTTGAGGCTTTTTTATTTTACGAACTTGCTGCATCTGAAGTTATAGTAGACTAGCGCTAGAGAGGAGGATTCACTATAGCTGACAAATTAGTAGAGGTTTATTTCTTCTCCTTGACCTCGTTTATTTGCATTTTAAAATATTTTTAAGCTATTTTCTTTTTATTGTTTATTTTAAAACAGTACATGAATTGGCATGACGGGGTTTTGGGGTTTTGGGGTTTTGGGG